AAAGGTTAAAAAAAAATTATTAAAAATATATTTTTGAGAATTTTCAGAGTTAGCCTATTTTCTCACTGACTGTACGACTCTCCAATTAATAATAAGTATTTTGTTTTAAATAATCTTCCATGTACATATAAACAAGAGACAAACACACTCTTTTTAAATGGAATAGAAGACAATACGAGAGAATGAAACAACCGTGGAACAAATTTATAAAAGCACAGACAAGCAGACAAATATTACAAGACAGAAAAACACAAAGACACAAATATATGCCAAAATGAACACGAACAGTCGATGTATGTAAAAAGGAATATATTTATTATATAACTACAGATTGAATACTTTTTGGTTGTTTATATTTTTGTAGCTTTCATTAAAATAATTGGCATGCACCGTACCGCTATGCGAGGTGACAGAGATAGAGAATAATGGAAGATAACCGATTGGAAAGAGATGATAAAGGGTGTGTTTGTCTGTTTATATGTGCAGGGAAGTGACGGGTTGTGGAGGACTATGCGAAGATTGTCCGATGACACATTTGTTTGAACGGTAAGTCAACTTTGCCTGGAAATTTTTGTCGGTGGCATGAAATTTCGCACTTCGGCCGTTTAGTATGTAAACTTATTTTTAATTATATGATATAATATAAGACTTTTTTGGTTTTTGAACTCGCTTTTAAAACTAATTTGCGAATTGTCATTAGCAAATATGTTCCGAAGATTTCATTTGTATAAGAAAAAAAAAGATTTTGTTAGAAGCTTAGCTATTTAATATTGTTTGCATCTAGCTGTGACTAATATTGGCCGACCAAGTTTTTCAAATCTGCACTAATATTATGAAGAGAAAACATTTGATTGTTTGTTTGCATTGAAAAGTGTCCGAAAGTATGGATCGGTTTTAAAAATTCTTTCACCTGCGGGAAGCTATATCATACCCAAGTGACATAGTTTTAATTTATGCGGGCGAAGTCGCAGAAATACAGCAAGTTAAATAAACCGAAACCGCAGTTTTGATTACTGCAAAGTATTACTTATTTTTATTTATATTCATATAAAAAAAATGCTAAAGTTATATGTAGGTATATTTCGACCGCCATAGCGCAAACTGTATATGATTAGATTCTGTAAATAATATATTTTTATATTATTTTGTTAATTATCTATACTAATATCATATATAAGACAGATATTACTGTTTGTTTGTTATTAGGCTACGAAACTACAGGATCGATTTAAAAAGAGTTTCCTACGGAAGTCGCGAGAAAACACCTATATTACCTTATTTTTCAATGCAACTCTTTGGTAATAATTGGGCGAGAGCTAACGCCCAATTTATTACCGAAGAGTTTCTTTTTTCGAATAGAATCTAACAAAAGAAAATATTTGAATAAATAAAAAGGGCATATATAACTTTAAATTAAGGTTCTTAATGGTAAAACACTTTATATTTACCATTTCTCGGGTCTGCTAGAATTGTTTGTAGAATTAATTTAATTGAAACCTTACTCTGCGTTTAGCGAAAAAAGATGTTCACATTATATTTTATATAAGTATTAAATTTCTTTGTTTTGTGTAGGTCGAATTTTGAATTAGAACTTGTGAATCAGAATATTCGGAAGAGGTTTTAATATACCTATGTTAAAGTCTCCGTACGCATGTACTTCGTAGATGCCATTTGGTTTATTTATATTAGTCGATGGCATTCGCATACGAGATGTAGTCTTTTTAATATATATAGTAGATCAAATCAAAAAGAGTGCCAGTTAAAAATCAGCGTCAGCCGTAGCTGAATTATTTCAATGTTATTTAAAATATTTGCCTAGCTTTGAATGGGCACGTTGAGGTCGTCTGCACTCCGTATGCGGGTTCTATAAATCAATGTAAATAAGCTATAAATAACCAAAATGAGCCAAAAAAAATACTAAGATTAAGCAAATGAAATGATTCCCTTATTGAACAACAAACCACCGTTTACATTATTATCGCGACGTGCTATAGTCCAGACTGCTGTAGTGTATCTAGGACAAGCGAAAAAATGGACAGTGGTTCTGTTTGCACGAATAGGTACTTAGTATTATGTGAAATTGTTGGTGATGAGGTCAGCAACCTATCCCTTACAACACAACGCAGTACTTCGAAACGATACGAATTATTATATTTGAACAATTTCGCATTCAAAGTGCTATACTTAAAAATATTCTTAATGAAAAATGCTTAAAAATCCACTTGGTCCCTGGTGGAGCAGTCGCCCGGATGGCGAAAGGTCATGGGTTCGAATCCCATCTCAGGGTGCCAAGGACCAAGAGATTATTTTAAGTATTTTTATTAAAAACGATACAAGGGTCTAAAAGTAGCGATACATATCGCCTGCTTTTAAAGCTCACATAATACTTTGGGTCAATGTACGTTTTTTCACTTGCCTTAGCAACGAACATTAGTTCCGTCCGCCTTGTCGATGCCGCCACGCATACATAGTCACTAGCATATATGCATGTATATCGCTCGTTGTTGTAGTAGTATATATTTGCTCTGTATCGCTAGTTATTCACACTTAAAAAGCTTTATATCATACTGTGATTAGATTTATTCAGGCCTTCTAGAAATGTCTAAACTATATCGTTTGATATCGTTGAACATTATGTAGCCTTTTTCCAGTAATTTTCAGTTTTTTAGATTTTATTTTCGCTTATAACAATCCTCTTTCATCACTAAACATCACTTGTTTAAGTCGTATGTATTTGTGATTTGGTGTGCTATTGTAAATAGTTTTAATACTGTACCATTATCAGCACTAAGCTCTAAAGTATCGTCACATAGAAAAGGTTTTATTCCCATAATATACGAGGGTCAAACTGAAAGTTCTTAGAACTGGCCACTTATAAACAATATAATAAAAAAATAATTCTAAAATTTGAAAATATAACTCTTTGCCAATATTACTGAGTATATATTTCATTCATTTGTCATTTGTTTTACGATTTGGCGGCAAATTGAAAATTGTCTGTGTCACGTCATCATGAATTTAACACGAGAAAATTTTCGTGCAATGATTTTTTATGACTTTCGATGTCATTTAAGTCAACAAGAAAGTTATGATAGACTACGATTGGCCTTTCACGATGAAGCCCCATCTCGTGCGACTGTTTACAACTGGTTTAATGAGTTTAAACGTGGTCGCACTAATCTCACTGATGATTTACGTGAGGGACGGCCTTCTACGGCGACGACTGAAGATAACATCTGTGTTGTGCGGCGTATGATAGAGACTGACAAAAGAGTGACCTATCAACAGATTCGGACAAGCTTAGGCATCGGTATGAGTCAAGTGCACAAAATCCTCCACGAACATTTAGCGGTCAGGAAGCTTTGCGCCCGGTGGATACCTCATAATTTGACTGAGGCTCAAAAACTCCATCGTTAGGATTAGTGTCGTAAAATGATTGAAAGATTTAACGGAGGTGACTCAAATGCTGTGTTCGACATACTAACAGGTGACGAAAGCTGGATTTACTGTTATGATCCTAAAACCAAAAGACAATCTGCTCAGTGGGTGTTTCCTTTCGAGGAGTTGCCAACTAAAGTGAAGAGAGATCGAAGTGCGGGAAAAAAAATGGTGGCCTCGTTCTTTGGAAGGATAGGTCATTTTGCAACAATTGTGTTAGAGGATCAAAAAACAGTTTCCGCAGAATGGTACACTACCAATTGTTTGCCACTTGTCTTGGAAAAAGTTCGAGAGAAACGACCTCGCAGTAGGATCCTCCTTCACCACGACAACGCCTCGTCGCACACCGCCAAGCGAACGATCGACTATTTGGCGACATCAAACGTTGAATTACTGGGTCACCCGCCGTATAGCCCCGACCTCGCGCCTTGTGATTTTTATTTATTTCCAAAAGTTAAAGAAAAACTTAAAGGAAAGCGGTTTATGAATGCTGAAGAAGCGGTGGCTGCGTATCGCGATGCCATTGAAGAGACCCCTAAGGACGAGTGGGCAAAGTGCTTTTCCCAGTGGTTCCATCGCATGCAGCGGTGTATTGACGTGAATGGACAATATTTTGAAAAGATATAATAAAACTAATAACTGGCTAATGTAATCAGTTTTTGATTTTCTAAGAACTTTCAGTTTGACCCTCGTATAGGTTTCTTATTGCTTATATATACTCAAGTCAATAGTACTCTTGGTTGTAAAAGGCTACAACCAAGAGTATCATGACTACAATGAAATTGTAAAATCTTTTTATTATTTTGGTTCTCCTTTTACGATTCAGGGTGAAAAATCTCATTGCTATTATTTAAATTTCATATATGTAGATTTTAGCTTTTTTTTTCTTACTTATTACTGAATAAATTCAATCCGATTAGTATTTAACTTAGTTTAATTACAAGTATAAATGAAATATAAAGAAGCTATTGATGATGTTTTTTCTGCTTTCATAATATTTATAATTTTAATTAAGGTGCAATTTTACTAAATAAAATTGACAATTTTAATGTAGGCATTATAAATTTAAATAATCTGTTATATTAGAGCGTACCACGTCGCATAAAATTCTGCCCATCTAATACAATAAGACGAGGAATCAATCCATAGTGATCACTATTATAATGGATTAAAAAAATAAATAAATATTTAGCTTCATTCATGTGAAAGAGAGAAATCAAACAAGAGACGTGTGCACTGTCCGACTGCCTGCTAAAAATGCATTAGCTAAATCACCGCCAATTGCTGTCTGTACTATTTGCGCCACCATAACGTCTTATAGAGAAAATGGCGCCGGGGTCGAGTTTTGTCAACACTTGCACGTACACATATTGCAAGCGGGAGGACAAGCGCAGGTATCTTGCATGTTTTCACAATATTAATTCAGTAGTCAAATAGCTAGAATCGAATAAGGAGTTGCGTAGTGGTTATGCCCTAACGTGCCCTGCCCTTAGTCGTTATAATATTCGGACACATTTGCCTTCTGATGTTCTTATCAGAAATGCTCTTGTCCTTGTCTACAGTATCTGAAGATGTCCAGCCAGTGCAGAGGAGCGCGCCTCTGCTTCAGTCTCCTCAGTACACTGGTGGCCGTCCACAGCCTTACAGTGAGTATTAAGTTTAAGGAAAAAAATCTTAATGTTTACTACCAAATTTGTTTACTACCAAAGTACACTTTCTTTAGATACTTGCAGACGTAGACAGAGTTTTTTCATAACAGGTTTACATTTTTTTTATGGGCAACATTAGTTTTTGGGTAATAGTACATAACACAGTCTCCGCATCAGATCATCGCTCGCTTCACCTTACAATAATATCTAAAGAGGGACTAACCATTATCATATCCGTTTTCTTGCTTACATTTACGATTGAGCTGCATCTGGCAACACCGTATCGTCCTATCCTTTTTTGTCGCTCAAAACCATGACTTGCTAAAGCGAGAAAAATAATGTATGTATCCGCGTAATCCTTGAGGCTATGGATGGTAACACGCTATTTTTCTCACTCTATCAAAAGGCAGTTCTTGGCCGCAGAATAAAATAGCTCAAAATTTCGGTAACGTTCTGCCAGCTGTAGCTCGTCCTTTCGTCGCTTTATTGCTCTCTATTGTTTAGATACATCTTTACTTTAATAAGAAAGGTTGGAAAATGTGCGCGAAGGTTCGATATATGTCCCAATATACGAAACTCCTTTGCGAAAATAAAAATAAAATATGGCGTAATTGACTAACTTGAAACTAGGCCGCTGCTGATATATACTCGTAGAAAACATTTCGTACAAGTTTATATATAGCATCCCAATGGACAATATATTTGCATGTTTATTTATACAAAATTAATTACTACGTTGGATAGTTCGACAGTACTCATAGATATCGAAGAAATCTGTCAGATGTGGTTTGTCCAGTTCTGAGGGAAGCTCCTGATGGAGCTATAATAATATGTCGATCGTCTTGGGTTCGACTCCAATTTTGATTTTAAGTTAATCGTTCACCAAGTCACCATTAATCACCAAGCGGAATCTTAATACGTATGGATGTGTGTGGATGGAATGATATAAAAAGGGTTGATATGTTTATTTAATTTACATTATATGTTGGTACTCACATCCATTTCATTTACATTTCTAAAACACCTTGTTTGGTATTCTGTTAAAAACACAGTGTATAATGCAGCGTTTACGTTTACAAACATTTATAAACCCATGAAGTGACATTGACAGCACTTTCAGTTGACGTTGCATTCGACGTTGTATTTTTAACAGAATAGCACTGCAAAAACAGCAGTTTGTGTTTCCATTTTCTTGATGTGTCCGTCGCTTTCGTCTATTTTAGTTATATTGTAAAATCAGAATAAGATGAATTGAGGCGTATAGATTCTTACGGAAATATTATATTCACCAGTTGTCACATCATTATATTGCGGCAGCTGGAAAGTAAACGACAAACGCGTATATAAAGTTGGACAGCTGGATAATTGAACACGTCCGTTTGGTGTTGTAGTCGGATGCATACTGAATTCCTATCGCAGTCTGATAGATGGGAAAATTCGTTCGTTTATTCATTCATTAGATTCTGCTGTATGAGATTTTGTTCACTCTCGTCCAAATGAGCATTTTAGTAAGCACGTATGCCTGAGAAGGGCTGAACTAAAAGCTCGACCTCAATAACAGTCGGAATACATAAAAAAATTATCAGAAAATTGACAAAGCAATGTTTGCGAAACTAGCAAAAATATGAGTAACATAAAATCAGTCAACGGTTGTCGTAGTAAAAATAGTGATAACATTCACCACCACCACCAGCCCTTTTACGTCCCCACTGTAGGGGCTCAGGCCTTCCTTATGGATGGTTCAGGAGGATGGGCCATGACCCTCCACGCTGGACCAATGCGGATTGGAGGGTATTAACGACTGCAAATGCAGCCGGGACCAACGGCTTAACGTGCCTTCCGAAGCACGAAGTAGCTCGAGATAATAATTTTGGTCACCCATCCCGTGACCGACCCTTGCGAAAGTTGCTTAACGATTACGATCGCGGGCCGCGGCGCTCATCCACTACTATTATAACTATAACTATTTGGATGACATAAATCAATAAACATCGAATAACTTTTTTTTTCATAAATAACCAGTATATGAAGGCCATTCAAACAGATACTCGTAACACTCATAAGCGATATTCACACATACAGACAGGTTCAGACACTCTAGTTGTCTTAAGGTCGAGGTATGTTTTAAAAGCCTTCAAAGATATAGTAACGCCATTCTGATTCTATTGACAATTTAATGTTAATCTACACAAAGCTTGCATACTGATAAAATACTGTACATACGTTGCCATGGCTGTAATGGTTAATATAGTTTATCGCCTATGTTTAATCCCTATAGTTCGTAGAAATATTTCTCACAGTGTTTAAAGGAATATGTGTGAAAAGTGGTAGAGCATCAGGTTCCTCAAGAGCACTGGCCTAGTGGGGCACATTTCGACACCGTAAAAATATTCATTAGACATATTTGTCCGCCGATTGTATTATCGGCTCTTTGTGTTATACGTTTTCCTATTATTGGTGTTTGTGTACATACAATAAAGTATTATTCATTCATATGTTTTTACAATTCTAGGCAATAATTTTTTATTTATATTATTTCACAAACAGTGACATAAAAATAAAGAAGCCTACGAAAAGTATTCTGGTGATATCCTTTTTGATTCGTCTCCATATGTTTAAATCAAAGATTATGAATACCGACCAATAATGTTACAGTAAATCAGTGAAATAAGTGAATTGAAAAAGTGTTACGACCGAATGCATTCGGACACAGTGAAATCCCCTACTGAGGGGATCAGGAACGCTACGAGAGATTTACCGCGATCCCAGTGTTAGGGTTGTTTGACATTTGAAGGTTTTATTTTACATTTGTTATTTAAAATTCTGTCTTAGTTTTAATATTTTTTGAGCTTTCAGCTTATCTTATTATCTGTTGAAATCGATTTAGATTTTATTAATAGCTCGGTGGTAGTCTTGATAGCTGTCGCATTACTTTCACTGGCGACTTTTCTTTACACGTTGTCTCTCGCATTATTATTATTATTTTTTTATAATTCTTTTATATCCATTTATTATTTTATTGTGGAAATTGTGTTGACTTAATAATAGTCCTCAACTTTCACGCTTTTATTTGTTATTATTTATTTTCTTAAAGCCTATCAACATATTTGAAATTCGAGGATTGACAACCCTAGTACACCAAATGTCCAATCGATGTGCAACTTTAGCCACTAGTTTCGGTGTACGGATCCGACTTTTGCCTGCTAACGTTTGGACGCCGTTCCTAGGCTGAGAGTTCGTCTGGAACTCTATACGTTTTATTATGCATATGGTCACGTGAATTTCAGTTTTCAGTTAAAGTTTGGAATTAATTGTTTTCCACACTTGGTTGGTTCAAGAAATACGTAAGTCGTTCGTCAGTTCAATGCACAGTTTAATATGTTTACTTTGTATATATATGAGGTGTAGTGTAGAGTAGTAGTAGGTGCTATCAAAAGCCATAAAGAAGAAGCCAGAAGCGAAATACGTGTGTACATAAAAGACCATGGCCTATTGTGAGACCGTGGTTAGGTATTATTCTCCGTCGTTGATGACAGACACAATATACCTAGAACTCTAGATGTATGTATATTATCCATTACCATATCTATTCGTGCTATGCTATGTATCCCTTTCATCTTAATCGGCGCTTGACTTCACCCAAACGATGTCATTATAACCACTATTGTCAATGTTTACACAGTCTTACATAATTTAGTATTCTAATAAACTCATTCGACGACGATATTTCCCATAAAATAATTATGAGTTGTAAACTTCAGGACTCATTTGCCTGCACTCGTGCTTCGTCATGTTTTATGCATGCAATTTTCAGTCAGTAGATGTGAATTTAAACGACTTATATAACATACGTGTGATGGTTGGACCGTTTTATTGTGAACAGAGGAGTCTATTTAAATGTGTCTAGGTGTTGTATGTAAGGAAAACTTTATTTCGAAATACATTTCGGTAAGATTTTCAATAAGACCCTTTGAGATCGCCAAGCACAAGAACATATGGAGGGTAAATGAGAATGTAAGCTAGTTAGATCTACCATTGTATATGAGATCACGTGATTTTTATGATATGGATAACGTAACGTGGTTTAACGTGGTTTTGCAAGCAAGATACAGTTATGAGTTCCAACTGTAGCGTGAGCGAGACAAGGAACTCACGTTTCGGTAGCATGTCAATCCGCCGATTGAGACAGCAATGAATTTCAACACTAGCATGAGCAAGATATGAAGTTGTGATCTTAACACACAAGCGCGTAGGAACACGCCGCATAGCCGAGATCCATTCTCTATCTCGCACAAGTACATGTGTTATATACCTTTATCCCTTTTTAAGAATGGCGACCTAGATACCTATTAAACAGTTGATTTTAAATTAAAAATATGTTTTAAATACATTTAAGAGGGAAATGTGATGCCATGAAGTTTTGTTTTTGTTCTTGAACTATTTCTACAGTATATCCAAAAAAGGTTCTCACTGAATTTCATGTATGTTTTTGATCTTAGCTTATTTGTATCTTTCTAGTCGCATTATTTTAATTGGATTTTGTATTAATTAATTAACTTAAGCTGAAGAAATTTCCATAAAGACATTAATTATTCGTACATTCTGACTTTCATAGGGTTGATTGCACCACTTTCTTTAAAAATAGCATTTCAAGCATTTTAAAACACTAGTTAGATATATAATTTTGCATCATGAAGAAATGGTTAGATGACGTCATAACTTAAACTGCCAACTTTAACCGACAAAGCTTTACTTATTAAAGTTATTATTTTGCTATGTCAAAAAGAGGATGGTGTTTGCATCTGCAGCTAATGTTAAAGTCAGCGTAACGATTATCGTTAAATTTGTTATAAACCTTAACTCTGTTTATTGACGAAAACTGCATGGTATAGATTGATCGTGTTTAGAATAAATATAATGGTTTATTTTTTGAGATATTTAAAAAGCTTTTATCAAACGAGATTCGATTTATTCGCAACCAGACGTGCTTACGTTATATTGTGCAAGAATATTTGAATACTGGCAACCCCAAGCCGAGTGTTGGATGATGCCGACACGGCGAGCGTCGCACCGCATTGTAAGATATTTTTCCACCAATAAATAATTCATTCGAAAGACGTGTGGCTGAGTGCAATATGAAACTGCGATTTGGATATATTTTCATGATATTTTTAGAACAGTTGATGTGATTAAACTCTATTCCTATTATATTTGTATATATTCATCAAGTCCGTTGTTTCAGGACTCGTGGTTGGGTGGGAGTAAAGCTCTCGAACATTTGAACCTCACCCCCCAGATTCATTTCTTTCTTTTCATCACCGCATGTTGTCTTCATTCTGCTCTTATTTAAAACGTCTAGTAATGTTCCACATGGATGACCTCCACGTAATTCTCTCTGATGACAGTGTGTAGTTATTTATCGATAGTATTTCAATGTTGTTTATTTTTGCAATACAGCATAATACGAGTACAATTGAATAAAATATTGCTCTGTTTGTAGCTTTGCCGTAGTCTGATAAAAAATTTATTCCACTTCCAATTAGAGAATTTCATCAGTCAAAAAAAGTCTATGAAATAAATTGAAAAAAAAAGAGTCTAACGGCGACAGTGAAATGACGCGTTGGCGAGGTGTTGCCACGACTGAATATTTTAATACCCCAGTCACCACGCGGCATGTTGCTTCGTGCGAAAATGTCATTCAGAATTTAAAATCCTAGTAGTAGCGAATCAGATTTAATTTTATATATATTCTTTCTAGATTGAACTGTGGAGAGTAACTAACAGATTAATGTGGGTTTTTACAGTCTTTTGAGTGGTCAAACTCCTACATTGGCCATTGTTGTTTGGATTAGAAACTTAACCATTTGTTACGACACCCATTACTATAGGTACGCTTTTTTCAGTACCACTGAGAACGGGGCAAAGTATCGATTTTATTATTTCAAATACTGTTGATAGTATTTTCAACGGCTATAAATTGTTTCGATAGGATAACCAATAGTTCGACTCTGCCACAAATCTATCCCGATATTCTTAATAGACTGTCATATTAGCACGAAACTTGTGTGTGCTATTTTCATATTTAATTCAAATCGCCTTTATACCTTGGACTATTCGTAGTTTGGTTATGATGGATTTGGGACTATCATTTTTAATACATAGCTTAGTCACAATTTTGTGTGAATCCATTTGAGAGAAGATTGATTATATAATTGCATGATAATTGCATGTATACGAAAATCTTTTCATTCGATCAGTATTTTCTATACTAAAGACCAAATATGCACCCGATTTCTGAATTGAGAATGTTTTTAAACTGCACTTAAACAGGTTTTCGTTTCTGCTTTTAATTGTGTGACTTGTGAAAAAAACTTAAGTTATTGAGAATAATCCTTTGCTAAATTCAGAAACCGACTGATACTTTCCTATTTTATCACTGCTCGGTGTTGCCAACTCTGTGTTGGTTTCAGTAAAACAAAACAACGTTCGCATGCAGAGCTTGGATCGCCTCAATCCGCCTCTGGTGCCGGGTACATAAACATTTAAATTTACGGCGCTCGCACACAACAGAGCCTCGCGTTTTAGGCTATGTGTACTTTATTTATTTTTTACACCGACAATGTTGGCATTTCCCTGGAATGGTTGCAATAAAAAACGGTCAAGGTGGAGTGTTAGCGATTGATATTATTTTTAAAAGTAGTGATATTAAATATATTTTCATTAATATCATATTCTAAGTCAAGTTTTGTCTGTGAATATTGTTGGGTTAGGTAGTGTTACTATAAAGATTTCTTTTTTAATTCCATAACTTTTATGTTAAAACAGTCACACTCATATCTTTAGTCGAGAGAAGCAATTACTTGTAAATGTTTCATAATTTAGGCAGATATTTTTTACAAAATAAACAAGAATTTTTTAATGAAGTAAGAACTGTTTATGATTAGGATAACGTAAACTAAAATTAATAAATAATAAATAAATATTATAGACATAAGGGAACATCATCTACATTGTTCAGATTAAAGATGGAAATATACAGATAGATAATAAAATAAAGATAAATAAATTAAATAATATCATAAACCATGGAAAAAACGATGTTGTCGACTTTATAAGCATGTCTCAAATAATATGACCATTTTAGATTTTTTTTTACATACGACCGCAATAAAAAATATATTCCATTCATATTGCAAAGATGGAACCCCAAAAGAGCGGAATATATTTCATCAAACAGCTCGCTGCAATTTTTCCTCTCACACCTGGCCGCTATAAAGCTTTAAGTTTTAATGGATACGTCTCATTTTGAACGCGAAACAAAACTAAAGTTTGATGTTTTTGTCATAAAATATGTTGTTCGTATACGATCTGACAGTTTGGGTTGATTAAAACTAGAAATAAATATGATCAATAAAATTAATAGACTTTGACGGAGGTTTTTATTTTGAATTTACTGTCATAGTTGAAAACGTGAAGTTTATGGATGAGTAAGGTTCACTGCCCGTTGCACAAACCGCCATTATGTCATTATTTTTAAGCGACATTAACGAGATAGACTTTCAAATTAAGAACATTGATTAGAACTTTAAGTGTATTTTTTATCGATCTGAAACTCAATATCTGTGTCGTCCCGCAAGCTAATTGTTGAAAAGAATATGATGATTCTAGTCGCTACAACACTGCTCCAAATTGTTTGCTTTTAAACAATCAACTAGTTTTATAAATTTAGGTGAATAATTTAATAAAATATATTGATTTAAAATAAATTATTAGAAGAAATAAAAGAAGCTATACAAATCGGTGATTGTTACAATAAAAAAATGGATGCATGCTAATACAAAGAGATATACTCTGAATGTTTAATTTCAAATAGTATTGTAATAATTTGCTATTTGAGTACATTAGAATAGCCAACAATAATAAATTTCACAAACGAGACAATGTTACATCAAAACAAAGTGCATCACATTATTCAAGACTAATTTCTTTGAAGGCACATACAACATATTTAAACAGCGACAATTTAAACACACGACGCCAACGAAGATAAAACACCCGTCATAAACACGACGACGCTGATAATGTTAAAAAAAAACACTGAAGACAGGAAGGTCAACATTCAATTTAGATTAATGTGTTTGGATTTATCGGTCGATTGATCGGCAGATGCATCAAGCGCTCATACGCAGCCTACAAGCAGATCGTGCAGTGAAGAAACTTGCAGTCAGCACAGTCAACACACATGCGAACATTCACAGAATGGTGTGTATGAAACCACAACGGAGTGTTCAGTGTGCCAATGATAAATAACCCTACCAACTTGAATGAGTCCCTAGTGTGTACCAACAAATAGATATTCGAATACATAGATGATAGCATGATGATTGTCAAGTTATGTTACGATGGTTTTATTTACTAAATATTTGTGCATTATGTATATTAACCATTTAGTTTTATTGTCTAAGGCATTTCTGCATTAATATATTGTTTTATTAACAATGTTTTTCAACATTCACTGCAGATTTGCCTTTAGTTTGATGAAAACCTCAATTATTTTAACATTATCTTTTACTTGTACATCACTCACCAACAATGCATTTCATAATTACTCCAAAATTCAGATTGCTTTATGAAATTTCGTATCGTCATTGACATGAGTTATGTATTAATAGTTGCTATAATATTTTGAAATATTAGTTATCTAACCATGTATTAAATTAACCAGAGCACTCGAAAACTGTGTAAACTCTATCAATTATGGCTGTTATATATATATATATATATATATTATTATAGCTATATATTCGTTTATAGTTACATATGTATATAATAAATCGTTTTGTAATACAACCACAATCACATTACAATAAACATTAAATTCAAACACAGACTTTCATTTCTATCCTCCTGCATGTTTTTATTAGAAATAGATCTGTTGTATAACTGCAAGATTTATTATCAATAAGTTGTTAAAAAACTATATATAAAAATTCTTCAATATTTTTCTTTATAGATTCTATCACTTCCATTTTCAAAAATAACTCCACTGTATTTTTATTTGAGTGTGTGAAATTAATTTGTCTGGTTACAGGAATGTTTCATTAAGGATATTCAGCATTTCAATTTTTCTTTTCAATGATATGATTTTGGGTAACTTATGAAATAGTTTTAAGGAATATTTTTTTAAGATATAATTTCTTAATTTCAGATATGGACTACGGAAGTGGCGGACCACCGCCTCCGGGTATGATGAAAGACAGACACGGCCCGCCACCACCACATCACCCAGTTAGTTTATTTTTATTATTTCTTACTGAGTAAATATTAATTATATCAATGTGCTTTATGCCCAATACGCTAACATAGGAACTCTTTATGGAAACCTTGATGAACTTAACAACAAAAAATTCACGATAAACTTCTCTTTACATCATTACTAGTATAAACTTAACCAGCTGTCAAAAAGGACATTGCATTAACTCACTCCGGCTTCAATTTTATGTATTTAGTATGATTTGCTTTCGGTTTTTTTATGACATGTGTCCATTATTTTTTGATTTCTCTCTCTTGCATAGTTCGATGATGGGACTATATCTCGATGTAGAGATATAGTCTCTATCGATCATAATATCGAACTATGCAAGAAATGATATCCCGAAATCGCTATTTCAATTTGAAGGGCAAAACTTAGTTAGTTTACATAAAATTTTCTTGGTAACTTTCGTTAATATTGCAACACATTTGCTCAACAATTTTATGCTTGACCTTGCTGATGGAAAGATCTCATTTTAATAAAACTTTAACGCTAGACCTAGATTTTCTTTTAAGTGACGAAGACTCTTTGTCGTATCCATAAAACTTGAAGATTATTACACTACAACAACACGCTTCAGAAATACAAATGAAATTATTCTAGCGTTTCTCGTAGAGTATAACTTTTTTATTAACTTTGAGATTATTTCATGAAATAATATTTATTTATTTTCATTTAAAAATACAATATTTTTTAAGTTTTACTTAATAAATGAATATTAAATAATGTCACATACATTGCTCAGATCCAAGATGAGTAAAGCCCCCGTATTATGGAGTGTCCGAGACAACGAAGGTACCACAACACCCAGACACGAGACAAACATAAATATTTTAAAATAATGCTATGTAAAATAACGGAATTTCGTACTGATCAATAGTCTGGATCATCACCATATCACCAGCCCTTTTACGTCCCCACTGCAGGGGTTCAGGCCTTCCTTATGGATGGTTAAGGAGGATGGGCCATGAACCTCCCAATGCGGATTATAGTCTGGATAGATACTGTTAATGTTCATAAATAATAAAGATATTTTTTTATATACATATATAGGTACATTAATATGAACATAATTCAATTTAATTCCATAAACATTCCATTAAACAGAAATTGTTTTGACTCAAAAGAAAATAAATTTGCCAAAAGCACCGGGCTCGCTGAAGCGTAGTCAAATTAAGGGTGCCATTTTAATATTAATTAGTTCATGTTTTGGAAGCGGGTGAACGTGAAAAGAAAATTTTGAATGCTTCCTTCCATATTTCGTAGTAATGGAGTGTTGATAGCAAAATTTAAGGTCTTGTTTGAAATTGATTTAATTAAGTAATCAGGCTACAGTTTCTTTAATTACAGTTCCTTATTATAGCAATTATAATATTTTACTGTTGTCACATAGGTTATCTTGATTTCGTTATTAATCAAGTAGTATATTTGTAAACGTAAGCTGTATGTCGTTCTATAGACGTAATGATAGTTAAAAAAAATAATAATTATTTAACAAAAAAGTCAACTATATTTGAGGCAAATTTGTTTGTGCTATTCTTATATTCTTATTCTTCAGTATTCAAACCTTAAACTGAAAATCGAAAAAAAAAAAAGTTTCGAAAAACGATAATACTGATTTTGTGTGGATTATTGAAACTCACGACCGGTTTGTGAATTGAGAAAAGTACAAAATTTTAACTGAAAATATTTTTTGTTTTACGTTTTACATGACAAAAAGGCATTTTATTCTTTAGGTACTTATACTACTGATAGTGATCTTAGCTGATCATAAAAAAAGTTAAAATCAGAAACGAAAATCTGTTCAAATTACATTTTAAATGTTTTAAGTACGGTTTGAGATGTGTTTAACTTCAAATTCTCAATTGAGAAACCGGATGTCAAACTACTGCAGGTTTCTTAGGAAACTGAGCTTTCGCTTTTGTTCTTCAAAAATAATTAAATCTGATTTATATATATTTTTAAATCGGTGACATCAGTCTACTATGATGATGATGGATTCTTTATAGATTTTAAAATTAAAAGAATATCAGTCACGATTCATTATATTTGAAGAACAATAATGACGGATATATCAAATCGAAAGTTGAATTTCCGAAAAACACCCTGGTACAGCCGGAACAACGGCTTTAAGTGCCACTACAAATACAAAGCAAAGAGGATACCTAAATACGTATTTAACTCGAACACTTTCGAAAATCTAATGTGTAATGTTAAAACCAAAATGCACCCTAGAGGCCATTGACTTGAAGAGACACAAATATAACTTTCCAGTTGTGTCGATATTTTCTTTCATTCGGATGGGGGAAATCTCATTCCGTTATATTGTAGAAAGTGTTTATTTCAGCGGGACGGGCGCGGCTACGGGCCGGAAGGTTATGGGGGTGAAGGGTTCGTGCCGCCGCCACCCATGCACCACCCACCGATGCCGCCACAGAACCAGGTAACCTAATGGATTGACTTTAATCCATCCACGGGTGGAAGTCGTGAGTTGAGGAATTTTCCTAATGTTTCTCTCCTATCGTTAGATACCTTTAGAAAGAGGAAAAATCATGTCACTCCCGTCATTTGCGGCAGTTTTTTTTTTTAAAACACGTCATTTATCCCACGTTTTATGTAGGGAAATATTATTGTGAACACCAAAATAATTACTAGAATTAGTAGATGGATGGCGAATTGCATGTTTGACGATTTTTGCTGTGCATTTGATAATAGGCTTGTGTCATGAAAATGTAGGTTTCTATTATATTCTCAGAATATATGAACCGTTCAATATTCAATAAAATAAATTTTATGACACTTAATTTGCAAAATATGACGTTACGAAAATTTTTTAAAAAGTAGGAGAAATATACTACAAAAATTTACAAAAAACATATGACATTAAATTAGTTACATAAAACGTTACAACTTTCATTATACATTATACTAATAATACGCTATAAACTTTAACGCACATATAACAAAGATATAACAAATATTGTTCAGAACACAGAACAGACGCCCGTTGGTTTTTCGCTACGGTCTTATTTATGATGTCTTATGACGTCACTTAGTGCCTTGAATTTGTATGAAGCGTTTTCGACCGACTAGCAGCAGCTCCACAAATATGACCAAAACTATTAATCGCAGACATGCTGTTACTACTTACTACTACATGATTTCTCAGATATTAATATGATTTCTCAGATATTAATGGACTTTTTATTTATGAAATAAAAAAAATGCTATCAACTCGCATTGCAGCTGGTTAGATGTATTAAAACATGAAAACCACTCTCTAATTTCTCGTCTCGTAAACAAATAGTAGTTACGTGGCTACGTTGCTGGCTTTGTACTCTTATTGTCTGGCCTTGATATTACTACAGAAGTAATACAGTTTATACATGACTGCATCAGTAAATTGATTTTAGTACTATTGTAGGCTTCACATGCAGGCACGCTAATACTGCCTGCACATGAAGCCTAGAGGAGTGTGAAGGACTTCAGATACGGGACTGATGACTTCAAGATAAATACTAAAACAGTTTAGACCCCAGATCCATTGCAGCGTAGGCTAGGCTCCATGTTGCTTTAGTGCCAATTCCAGGCGATCGGTCTGACCTTTATTATATTAAAAATAGTGACCTCTTAAAAAGTGACCTCTTAAAATATCCAAGTAATAAAGTAATATCTGCGTAATGTATAATTTACAATAGAATTATTTCACATTTGAATTTCACAATCTTTGTTACTTATTCAACTAAAGAGTCAACCTCTAATTTTGGAACTTAATTATGGATATTTTATAATGTTTTAATAAAATTCTAGATTTAGGCCGACATATAAGTCATATATGGCTATTATATCTGCGACGGAAATTTATTGCCTTGAATTAACATAATATTAAATTTTCTATTGATATTATCAATAACACATTCAGGGTGCTTACTTGAATATTCTAACCCCATTGCTTAGGTTATGCCTACAAATAGATGGTATCGTTCAAGGCTAATTTTTGTCAAACAAATATTAATTTATGGAAAGCACTACATAGAAACCGGCGCGCCAATTAAATTGATATCGAACCACGATTTCTGTTTACTTAATACATCACCAACCTATTAATGTCTCCTCTGCTGGAACTTAGGCCTTCTCTATGGATAGAATCGAATCAAATAGAATAGGGAGAATGGGCTATGACCCACCACCCGGACCCAGCGCGGATTGGTGGTTATTAACGACTTCAGAAGCAGCCGGGACCAACTGCTTAACGTGCCTGCGTCATCGAGTTCCCTATATAGGTAGTTATCTGTTTTGCGGGACCATAATTGTTATTTATATCAGGGTGGGCCACCGCAACAGGGCGCTGTGATGATGGTGTACGGGCTGGACCCGCAGACAGCCAACGCAGATCGACTTTTCAACTTATGCTGTCTCTACGGTAACGTCGTAAGGGTAAGTCGATACAAAACAACTCTATACATATTCGACAAAGTTACCAATGTACGCGTAGTCTTACTGTACATATATGTACGCGTGCGTAGTCCTACTGTACATTTATGTACGCGCGCGTAGTCCTATTATACTTAAATGCGCGAACTGGTGACATTTTGATAGCGTGACATTGTCTCCTGTTACTCTGCATGATTATCCTTGTCTTGGTATGCCCACTTGAACACGTCACAATTAGGTGACTTTAGTGTACGCCTAGTAAACCTAACAAATATGAAATGTTGGAAGAGTAAGATTAAAATTTATAATCAGTTTTTAATTATGATAAGGTTTAATACAACGGCTAGGATTCCAGCTATAAGGTTCACCCGATAGCGCGCTTCTTGAATCATTCTGATTCGCTAGGATTGGCTGCTCTTTACCGGAGCTTTGTAGCAGCCGAGACTGAATAAATGACTATGATCATATTCGATTTAAAATTTAACCTTCTGCGCAAAGGATTATATTTTACAATTACATATTTTCTCGTTAGGTTGGTGGGTAGGCAGAAGCAATTCAACGCCCCAAGTACTATTTATGTTACTAATTTAAAATCTGTTTTATCAGTGTTTATTTTGTGAGGACGTTATTAGCTTATTATTCATTATCCAAATGTTTTTTTTTTTTGTATGGTAAAATGTTTGCTATAAAATCCAAGCTCACAGACAAAGGAAGTCAAATTCATTAAAATCTGTCGAGTATTTTCTACGTGATAAGGTCTAAATGACCAAATAAAATGTTTTCCCGATTTGAAGCTAATAGATTACTTCTGCTATTTGCAATTGTAAAATATTGTTATTAATTGAGTATTTTTAATGTCTTAATGTGTACTCAGCCTTAGATCTCTCTCCTAGAAAAGACTGCCGAATCAAAGTAACTGATGTTAGAGTTTTTGCTTCATAAATTACATTATGATTTTATCTTTCTCCAGATAAAGTTTTTGAAGACCAAAGAGGGTACTGCTATGGTGCAAATGGGTGACCCCGTGTCCGTGGAGCGTTGCGTGCAGAACCTTAACAATGTCACAGTTGGCGATTACACACTCACATTAGCGTAAGTGAGCCTATGAATTCCCTATGAGGTTCCAGCGCTGTGTGGTTCCAGTGTGATATTACATTTTCGGTCACCCATCCAATAACTAGCCTTTGGGAGAGTTGCTTAATTTCAGCATTTGTGAACGTAACGTGTTGTGTGATTCAATAAGTTACAATTCAATATTCGTTCAGATTTGTAATACCAAATTGTTTGCAACGGAAGAAAAGGGAATAAAAACACATGTCCCTATCTCTCTCATTGCGATTTCGAATCGTTTTCTTATTATGCTAATGTGAACTACTTGATATTACAGTTTCTCGAAGCAAGCGTACCTCTCGGAGGTGATGAACCCGTATCCACTGCACGACAAGAGTCCCTCGTTCAAAGACTACGTCGGCAACAAGAACAACCGCTTCCTCACACCCGCCTCCATACACAAGAACAGAATACAGCCTCCTTCTAAGGTCAGTAACTACGACATGCCCGGATCTACGATTTTTACTAACCGGAGCAGAACTAACATTGTTAGGGAGGCACCATACATTAGTATAACGATGGTGCCCGGGGTTAATGGGGGCCCTTGCCCTCCCCTCCCCTAGATCGGCGTCTGAACCACGATTGACGAACCTTTCCAATCATACAAAAGAACTGCATCACCAATCGTCGACGTCCTCCGCAGCCGAGTGGTTCGGACGCCGGTTTCAAAGTGTCGCCATCTCTGAAGTCCTACTTTCGGTCGGCTGAATGTAGAAAATGGACTTTCTTATATTGTCTTGCGTCTGGGTGTAGTGGTACCTTCTTTGTCTCCGCATAAAACGGCGGCTTTAGCTATATATCTTGGCATCTTAGCAATTTTTATGATGTTTTCTAATCTTTTTGTAATCAATTTGGGCCCGTAGAGATTATAATTGGAATAAAGAAGACAGGCTTTTCTGAAGAATATAGAAGAAATGGTTAGATGGGTGGGATTCCCCCTCCCCTGAGGACTTTACCCTTCAGTGGAGAGAGGTCAAATAGCAAAGACATTAAAACTAACTTAATGTAAAATCATTAAGTGGTATACAGTGTTTTAATTTGAAACAACTGCAATCTATTCCTTTCTCTTCCTCTATTATAAAATAGCTGTTTGCCCGCGACATTGTCCATGTAAATTAAATCCCATATTAACCGCAAATAGTTTTCCGTAGGTGAAATAATTTTTGAAATTGGTTCTGTAGTTTCTGCAAACATAATATTTAATCTATCTTTATAATGTTTAAGTATTGGTAATACGGTACTTTTATTTTAATAATGCTGTACAGTATTAATTATTTAATGTCTGTCCACAGGTGGTGCATTTCTTCAACACTCCCCCAGACGTATCAGACGAGCAGCTGTTACAGGTGTTCCGAGACTACGGCGTATCTCCGCCACACACAATCTCCAAGTTTCCTCTCAAGAGCGAGAGGTCTGTTTGATAATACATTTTGTCTCTTTCTTACCTATGGGACACTTTTAAAAAGTTTTTTTTTTATAATTTTAAGCCTGCTGGAGTCGTATATACAAAATTATCAATACTTTTACCTACCTTTGTAAAAATTTAAACATTTAACAACCAAAAGCCTTAACAGAGTTTCTTACCGATTCTTTTCTTTTACCAAGTGGTGAAAGAAAGGAAAGGGAAATCCTACAATAAGTTTTGAACTTAACTGTCAACAGATTAAAGTTTAAAACCGATTTTGTAAATAGTCTTTTATAAACAATAGTTCTAGCAATTTCACGCACTGTACAAGAAAATTTAATGTCTCCGATATGGCAGTATGTCTCAAACTCCTTCGTCTTGAATAGCTGAATATTTGTTGTGCTATACTTATTATTTTGTTCATTTCCATTGGACTGAGAATCTTGTTAACAATGGATTGCCTCTGAGTGTGTGATTTATATTTATTTATTTATTGATTGGCTTTGTCTTTGTATAGATCTTCATCCGGCCTCATGGAATTCCAGAACATTTCACAGTCAGTTATGGCGATAATGGCGTGCAATCATGCGACCATTCAACATCCAGGTAAATTGAATGCCAACAATGTTTGTAACATAGAACTGCCATCCAATCATCATCAGCCCTTTTACGTCCCCACTACAGGGGCTCCGACCTTCCTTATGGATGGTTAAGGAGGATGGCCCATGACCCTCCACGTTGGCCCAATGCGGATTGGAGGGTATTAACGACTACAAATGCAGCCGGGACCAACGGCTTAGTGTGCCTTCCGAAGCTCGGAGTAGCTCGAGATAAGAATTTTTTGGTCACCCATCCCATGACCGACCCTTGCGAAAGTTGCTTAACGACAACGATCGCGGGCCGCGGCTCTTATCCACTACTCTCTTTTTTTTATTCTAAATAAAATGTCATTTAATGTCATTTATTATTTTTTTTAATGATCTGCTTATGAAACTTAATTATTAATTATCGAAATATTACTTTAATTAATAACACATGAAACGGTAAATTCGCATTATTTTTTCAGGTGCTAAATTCCCCTTCGTCATGAAGCTATGCTTTTCATCATCACGACAGATTGGACAAGGGAAAGGGCCACAGTCGTCCAAGAATCAAAACCAGAATCAAGAGAATCAACGGCAAGGCCAGAACAACGGAATCGCCGAACACGAATATTAGTAAGCTAACAGTTATTTAGAATTAAAGAAAAGAGAACAAAATAAATAATGTGTATAAAAAGATTTTAAAAAGTAAAAAATACAACAACAAGTGGTGAAACAAAAGACATACGTTATGTAATGTAAATCGTTTTTAGGGACGACGACGGACCAATGTTAAGTCGGATGATTTTTGCGTTTTTTTTTCTCTAATTTTGTTGCCGGACCGGTGGGGCTTTTTATTGTTGGCTGTTTGACTTTAAATCCCTTCGTCAGTACTACGATGACAATGTGACAGCCTCTTTTGATTTATAAAATTTCATGAAAAGAATTTGATATGACTTGATATACAAACTTATTACACGCGTTAGAGTCGTTTTGTTAAATATAAATAACTTTATCGCGTGTATTTTTGAAAAATCCTTTCAGATCCTTAACAGGCTCTGTGTTCACGAGACTGAGATGTTGGTCGTTTTTTTTTTTCATAACGCTTCAATTTTACTGCTTGACTGAATTTTTTTAAGTTTTCTTTTTTTTAATATTATTATATGCGTTCGTCTCTACCGGTTCAGGATCTTATTAAATTTAAAAAGCGTAGAAAGGTTTCGGTTGGCAGAATTGATTGAAGCGCGCGGAAGTTGTTTATGCCGATGAGTGAATGAGCCAAAGATAATGTTACCAACCTGAAAAATTTAAACAGGGTTGGGATGACATCGTATAATGAGTGATTCTTTTATCGATTTTGCATAATGGTTTCTTATATACTAATTTATTATTTCTTGTTTCATATGTCACATAATTAGACATGGTTTATGAAACATAAATTATTTACGAAACCAAATGTCGGATTGATAACTTATCTACTCATTTAACAATGAAATCTTGCCGTTGGTGTTGTTATGTATGTAGATTTATTAAATTAGTTCACAATTCTTTCTGTTGTATTGTAAAAATATTTTTTCTCTGTTGTTATAATAATGCGGCAAGTTAATTTTCCTGCACAAAATATACAGTAGTTAGGGGCAAATGTAATTTTAGTCGGCCGTGTTGAATATTTCATGGTACAGCAAAATATTTTAAGAGTCGGCCTAAGACTTAGGATTAGTAATATCGTTTTTGTATAGGTCATGAAAAATCTACACTTGCTACCTATTCTTTCCCCGTCAATTAAGAATAGTTGTTTTATTAGAGTATTTATACAGGGCTATTTATGAAACACCAGCAACCGAGTAAGACCAAGGTTGCTACTGCCTAACTCGCTAGCCATAGGATACGACTAGTAGTTATATTTCGTTTCATATTACTTCTACTATAAAAATGACGATTATTGATTTGTAACCAGTGTTATCAACTAAGTCATTTATTCTAAATTTATTCACCAAACGACGTGTGACATGAAATGAAATATCGCCATTACATCGCTAAGATGTCATATCCTACGGCTAAAATCAAGGCTAAAGAGTAAAACGGTCGCTCTGCTAATAGTGGCATCATAACAACGTCAACATATTCAACTTATAATTCAAGAGTTTGAGTAAAAAATTGTTTTAAATTGCAGTGTCGTAAGATTTATACGCCTATGTTTATGTTTTTGTTATTTGTAAACGAAAGAATGACGCTATGCTCGAAATCTTTATGAAGTATAGTCGATTCGAGGAACTAAAGTTTTATTTTTGTATGAAATTAAAATTGGACGGATCGACGTAAAGCAGATGAATGAATATTGTCGTTTATCATGTTAGTTATATAACTGGTAGATATTGGTGTTATACAAATAACCCTGTATAATATTATATTGTACACATAGATTGTTTTATTTTTTCTTTATGAAAATCAGAAATTATACCCACTGTTGTAATTGTTAATTTATAATAAATTCTAGTCAAAAAATACTGCATATTTAAGGGCTTTGTTGCAATGCATGGACTGAATATTTTTTTTTTTTTACATAATATTAAATTAAACATTTTGATCTTCGAAGTAGTAGGGACCATAGAGTTGTAAATTTCAGTACATCTGCTTGAATATAGTTCTTGTGACAAAAATATTTTCGTAATGCTTGAGTTATCAATGAGAATTTTAAAATTTAATAGTTGTATATGACAAACAAACGATCGATTTTTAATTATTCCAACAACGTTTTTAAATATACCTATGCATTTCAAGAATATATATATATATATATTTTTTCATAGACATATTACCTTTGCGTCTTTTTACATTGGAAATCTTTTTAATCATACGTGTTTCATAATGTAAAAATAAGTTCTATTCTATATAGATATAGGGCTGAATATTCTAAAGTTTTCTAAACGTTATTATTGTAATAGTGTTGGCGAATTTTTCTGAATGCTGAATTTTAACAAGCGTATAAATAATGTCTGCTTTTTATATATACATCTATCTTCATTGTTATTTATTGAAATATATAAAACTATTCTTGTAAAAGTAAAATTGTACACAATATTTCTTAACATTCTTCTCTTTTCTAAAAAAATATCGCATCTGGCACTAGAGCATTTGACTAAGAAATCGGTTGATAATAAACCAAAGTGTTTATAATAGATATATACAACATGTATCGATTATAGATTTCTTTAAAATCATATTTTATGTTTCTTTCCCTTCGTCTTAAGCCAAATAAAAACGCCAAAGTTCATAAAAATTGTTAGTAGATATTAATGAAAAATATATTATCGAAAGATGGTTTGTTGTACATAAATTATATTATGCTGTTAATTTTTTTTCGCTTCAATAGTTGTTAAAAAGTACATTCAAGTACTCAAGTGTCATGTTCAATAAATTAAAAAAAATATAGAAATAAATAAAAGTGGCGATGTTTTACATGTAAGATTGTAAAATTTTTATCGGCATAGATTGTGTCAATAGCGAATTTTTAATGTATTATAAAATGAAATGGAATGACATATCTCTGTGAATAATTGTGGAGAAATAAATGAATAATGATATAATAATAAAAAGTCAATTTTTAATATCTGCTGAAAACAGGCCTGTAGATATATAACTGTATCAGCATATTCTATCTGTAAAATTTCCACGTACAGTCGTGTACAACCGTCATAATCTATTTTGTGAGAAAAATGCAACTGAATGCTTTTTAAGCTTACTAAAATTAGACATGTACTTTAATGATGTATTGAATTAGAAACATTGTAGGTTATATAATTAAAATAATATATATTATATAGGTTGTACACGATTGTATATTTTTGCTTGCCATGTCAGTGTATGTCAATTGTACATTCTTGTTTAGCGGAAACAAGTAACCGTTATGAATTTATGCTTCTAAAAACTACATATCAAGATGACAAATAATTAATCTATTTTAGTGTTATACGGAACAGATTATAAATATACTTACACTCATCATGATTATCCTAGTTTTGCTCAAATTATGTTTTTATTTTTTATTTTTCTCTTTTTGGATTATTTTTATTTTAATTTACTGTTTATAAAAAGATACATACATCTAATTGACCTACTTGACAGATTAGTACTTACATATTACTCGGGCGCTATGGAAAAAAGGATCGTGTCGTCAACAGTGGTCGCTACTGAAATAGTTTTTGCCTATAGCTTAATAATTTATCTTATATTTTGAGGGATACATATGTAATTAATAACACAGAAATTCCGTTCCTTATTCAGTTCAAGAAGAAACTTGAAAAGGTGGCTTTCTTAATCAAAAAAGTAGAAACACGTCGGACAGCATTAAAATTAAAAAAAAAGTGTTTGATAATGGAATATCCTTTTGTTTATATATACATAACATTATAAACTAAACATAGTTTTGGGTAATTACACAAGAAGTATTTTTAGATATAGTAATATTTTTGTGGAAATAAGGATATTTGGAATAGAATACCGGAAAAAACTTTTGCATGTGTATATCCTCAAAATACAGGCAAAACAAAATGGTTCAATTAAAAGTTGATCCTATACTACCCTATTCAACATAGAACGATACGTTCCCTTTTTTCAATAGAAATACCTGAATTTAGATACAAGAAAACTCACGTTAACGTATTTGCTTCTAGTTAACGGCGAAGCGGCGGCGCACACACACACAACACATATCAAGACGGAGGCAACACACACACACACGGCACGGGGGGACGGGGTTGCCATTGCTACACATAAAATTTACCCCTACTGTAAAAAACTGCCAAAACAAAAAAAAACATTCACAATCACACCACCGTTTACACTGACATTATCGGTTATTTAAGTTTGTTTTTTATATAATAGTATAAACGAAGTGGTTATTTTTTCATAATGGGTAGATTTTTCGCAATGGCAACATCTTAATGATTCCTTATTTTTACAATTTATGTGATCTATATCACTCTCTATAAAGACATTAACAGTTAGATTTTTTATACAATGTATAATAGACACAGTAACATTTTTTTTTGCATAATATGAGTTTTATATATTATAAATACATAATATGTATCACATTTTTTATATTTCCATTCTTTTTCGTTTCCTTGTTTCGTAAGGAGCCACGCTCTGTTGAATGCGTTATGAATTTTTTTCTTTTAAACTAGTGGTTTAGTTAGTTTTTAAGTAATATTCCCATTTTATTTGTGTAATATTAGAATTTATTTGTGTCGTATTATTGCCAGTGCCATTTTCACCTACTAGTTGAAGTAAATTTTATTGCTTCATGCAAAAATCGACTCTAACACTACATTAAGAAGGTTTCACTTTCTTGTTTGTGTATTGAAGATGGCACTGCCCATTTAGTGATTTCGTAGATATTAACTTTGCGAGTTTGTTTAAGACGATGTTAAAAAATTTATGTTTTTCAGTTTGTATTCCTTTATCTGTTCGTACGGCGACAAGTTCATATATATAAATATGTTCGTTCGTTCATACGTCAACAATTTGGTTGTTTGTAAACGTAACAGTTGTGAAATGTACAAGAAATAAAGATACTGTGGTTTAAGGTAGATATTTGAGTTTCATTTTTATTTAAAACAGTACCATGCTTTTAGT